CAGGGGTGTACTTGAACAGACTCCTGCCATCACCAAAGCCTGCTACACACCCTCCCACTGAGCTGGGTCAGGAGTGGGTGTGCAAGGGTGGGGAACGAGCAAAGGTTTGGCTCTTCCCTGTCCCCTGTCTCCCAACATATCAGCTGTGCCAACTGCTTCCCCTGGGAGCAAAAAACTATATTTCTATGAGTTATCCCAAAGATTTCTCTATTAGGTAATATGGTGGCAATAACACAGACCTCATTCCCTCTTGTTGAAATCAGTTGCTATACCAGTTATGTCTGCACAATTGATAGGCATATTGAGAGCTACTTCCACCCATATAGCTGGTCCTAGTCTGGGTGAACAGTGTGACGTTCCTCAGTAGGAGCTTGCATGCCACAGTGAAGGGCACAGTATAAAAACAGACAGATAAGTAGATAACTGTACGTTACTTAAAAGTCCCTCTTTTCCCAAGAAGACGTTTACACCTAAGAGCTTTTTCATTTAAGCTCATTGACTCCAGTGGCCATATTTATGAAATGAGGAATTGCTCAGCCCATGCTTTATTTGCCCTCATATAGTATTGATGAACCTTCTTCCTTGTCCATTTATTTTTGCAGTGGACATTTGCAGTATTTTTCAGTACAAAGAATTCAAAAGTCTGGGGGAAGGGCTTTGAGGTCTTAGGTTGCCAATACTGAAATATCCTTGGAATTTCTAAATATCACAGATGACAATTTCCTAGTTCAAGAAGTGTGCAACCAACATGAGGGAATTCTGTGTTAGACCTCATCTTCACAGATAAATAGGAACTGATTACAAAAATAAAAATTAATGGTCGCTTAGGTACAAGTATCGTGACTTGATCACATCTATAATATGCAACAGAATAAAGTCTAAATCAGTAATATAGATCCTTGGTGCTTTAAAAGGGCTAGTTTCACAAAGCTGAAAACAATTATGAGCCAAAATCAGCTGTGAGGAAAAAATTAATCAGAAAAATGTGAATTATAATTGGGAATTGTTTAAGAATACTTCACTAGATGCCCAGAACGCCACAATTGAGGAAGAAGGCTGAATTATTTAAAACACTGATCTGGTTTAGAGGGGAAGTGAAGGCAGCTATAAAAAAATGTATAACAAATGTATAACAAATGGAAGAAAGGGATAGTATAGTAGTGAATATAATTAGGAAGCTCGGAATTGTAGAAAATGTATAAGGGAAGCAAAGGGACACAAGGAGGAATCTATAGTCAGCAGATTTAAAGGATAATAAGAAGGCAGTATATTAGGAACAAAGGAATCCTGACAATAATATTGGTACATTACTAGATGGAAATGGTAGAATTATTATTAAATGTTTCTGTTCTATATTTGGGAAAAAACTGATGATGTAGTCCCATTATATGATGCTGATAATACTCTTTCCATTCCATTAGTATCTCAGGAGTATGTTATCCGGCATCTACTTAAGTCTGACATTTTCAAATTAGCAGGTATAACATGCATCTAAGCATTTTAAAAGACCTGCCTGAGGTCTTTTAAATGCTGGACCATTAATGTTGATTTCAATAAGTCTTGAAGGATTGGGGGAAATTTCAGAAGACTGGAAGAAAGCCAATGTTGTGTCAATATTTAAAAAAGGTAAATGGGATGACCTGGGTAATTATAGGCCTATCAGTCTAACATCAAAACAGAGCAAGATAATGGAGCAGCTGATACTGGACTCAGTCAATAAAGTATTAAAGGAGGGTAATATAATGAATGCCAATCAACATGGTTTATGAAAAATAGATCCTCTCACACTATCTTGATATCTGTTTTGATGAGATTATAAATTTGGTTGATAAAGATAATAGTGTTGATATAATATACTTAGATTTCTCTAAGGCATTTGACTTGGTACCATACAACATTTTGATTAAAAAACTAAAATGATATAAAATTAACATTGCACACATTAAATAGATTAAAAGCTGCCTAACTGATAAGTTCTCAAAATGTAATTGTAAAAGGGGAATCATTGTCAAGCATGAGTGTTTCTAGTGGAGTCCCACAGGGATCTGTTCTTGGACCTCTGCTATTTAACGTTTTTATCAGTGACCTGGAAGAAATCAAAATATCATCACTGACACAAAACTTGGAGGAGTGGTTAATAATGAAGTGGACAGGTCACTGAACAGAGTGATCTGGATCGTTTGGTGAACTGGGCACATGCATATAATATGTGTTTAATATGCCTAAATGTCAATGTGCATATCTGGAGCAAAGACTGTAGGCCATACTTCCACAATGGGGGCCTCTGTCCTGGGAACCAGTGACTCTGAAAAAGATTTGGGGGTGATGGTGGATAATCAGTTGAACATGTGCTCCCAGTGCGACAGCCGAAAGGTCTAATGCAATCCTTGGATGCATAAACAGGGGAATCTCAAGTAGGAATAAAGAGGTTATTTTACCTGTATTTGGCACTGCTAGAACCTGTGTCCAGTTCTTGTGCCCACAATTCAAGAAAGATGTTGATAGATTAAAGAGGGCTCAGAGAAAAGCCACTAGAATGATTAAAGGATTAGAAAACATGCCTTTTGGTCATAGACTCAAGGAGCTCAATCTGTTTAGTTTAACGAAGAGAAGGACTTGATTACAGTGTACAAGTAACTACATGGGGAACAAATATTTAATAATGGTCTAGCAGAGGAAAGTATAACACAATCCGCTGGCTGGAAGTTGAAGCTAGTTAAATTCAGACTGGAAATAATGCATAATTTTTTATCAATGAGGGTAATTAGCCATTGAAACAATGAACCAAGGGTTGTGGTGGATTCTCCATCACTGACAATCTTTAAATCAAAATTTGATGTTTTTCTAGAAGATCTGCTCTAGGAATTATTGTGTGGAAATTCTATGGCCTGTGTTACACAGGAAGTGTAACATCATAATGACAAGATCATAACAATGGTCCCTTCTGGCCTTGGAAGGCATGAATCTGTTATACACTGTGAAGTCTTTTTTTGGTTTGTTTTATTCTGAAAATGTTAGCTGCCCAATCACTTAGAAGAGCTGTGTTTTAGCTCTCTTAGAATGCACGTTTCCATTCTATGTGCACTTGCGTTTGGGGCTAAAGGGAAAGGAGATTGTAAGAATAACAGTTCATTGCACACTCATTATGCCTTGCAGGATTTTTCTTTGAAGAACCTTCTTCAGTTGGCCGTTTCAGCCAGCATTAGATATTGCCATATTTGGAAGATGTGATCTTTAAGTATAGATCGGTTTTATACTTTGAACTGTCATTTGTTTAACAAGGTTTTGTGGGGGGTGGGGAATGTTAGATGCAATCCTTTGAGTTCTAGTTTGGCATTGATTGGAGGCTGGTTTCATAAACTTTCTGCAAAGTGTAGCTAGAAAGACTTACACCATGCCTTGTCACATTAGAGATTAAAACAGCATTTATGTTTTTTCTGAGGTTTTGTCTGTAGTACTGTCTGTGGTAGCAGTCTAACCTGATTTATCGATACAATGTTGTGATTTAAAAGTACTCGCTCACATACCCTTCTCCTTCCACTGCCTCCACTCAAGAAATCTACCAAAGATATAGATTTGTAGCAGCTGTAACAGATGGTCACTGATGTTTGCAGTCCCTTCTAATTAATCAACATCCATTTGCAAGCTCCTGTTTTGATTGGAACTAAAAAAAATTCACAGCTGATTAACAGGTCAGTGAGTGAAACTTTCAGTACATGCCGTGAAGCTGCTTATTACTAAGCCCTTTTAAGTACTAGACATTTTATGTTCTTTATTTAAAAAAAAAATCAAAAGTAACTTTCTACCCTTCAAGAGCAGGTATGTGAAATAATTGACATGCCTGAGACAACGGGATCAAGTTCATATCCACAGGACTATCACTTTAAAATGTCAAAAGTGAAAGCTTGCAGGGCAGGGGAGAAAATCTGTCACACATTTCATGGCCTCCATATCTTTTATGCATCTGGGTTCAATTACGGATTCACCTAAAATTAGGAAAGATAGCATTTTTAAGCCGCCTTCTGAGATGTTGAACTTAATTATTAGGTATGACAGGAAATTGAATTTCTCACAGAAAGGGAATTGTTTACTGTGAACAGTCTGCTGCATGGTGGTTTTTCCACTTTAAAACTGCTAGTGTTAGAGATAGGAGGAGGAGTCCACGGTCATAACTGCTCTATGGGCTTCATTGTCCCTGGTTCTGTGCGGGTGTGCAGAGGGAATGGAGCAAGGAGCTATCCCCTCCTCTGCTTTGCACCCTGCTCAAGGGCAGGGATGACTTTAGCCCTTGGGGTTGGAGAAGTATAGGGATTTCTCCCTCCTTGCACAAACTACCCCAAGAATGGAGGGAAGAGCTGGCCAGCTGCACAGGAGGAACATACTGCACCATTTGAGAGAGAATGAGGCAACATCCACACTCCCCCTGTGCACAAGGAAACAAGGAAGGGATTATACCAGCATCTAAATGCCACAGTCTGGCCCTGTGTAAATTGCAAAAGCCTAGTGAGTCAGCCGCCTTCAGAATGTGTCTGTAGTTGCGGTTCTGAGGCATTTGAATAATCAGAGATATCACACTTCTGGCTCCTTCCACCTTCTAACATTTGTTTGCAGGTTCATGGTAAAGGACTGGCTTGAATTAAAGCAGGTGACCAAAAGGCAGTCTGTAAGGCAGTTGCACTCCATGGAGTTTTACAATGTCTGGGCTACCCCATTCTTGATGAAGCAATGCATGCTGGGATCTGTAGTCTCCATTGGCCACGTCTGCAATGAAGAGCTGAACAGCTGCAATATGTTCTATTTTGTGTATATTAGATATAGCCCTTATTACCAGAATAGCGCTTGGTGAGGAAACTGTGGGTGCTCCTGAGCAAAAGGAATGAAGCAGAGGAAATGAAGCAATAGCCTTTAGCTGATGACTGCAGTGACTAATGATGCCATTCTGTTAGCCAAACAGCAATGTGCTATGTTGTGATTGTAACCATTCTTTTTACATCTGACAGTGAGCCACTTATATGGATTTGGACTGATGGATGCTGAAGCTATGGTGATGGAAGCAGAAAAATGGACAACAGTCCCTCAACAGCATGTGTGTGTGGAGAGCACGGATCACCAAGCCAAGTAATACACGTTATAATCACTGGTTCATATATTTACATGTAAAGTAATTGATACAATATACCTTTCCTTGTGCTCGCTTTGATTTGCCCATATGAAAGCTATCCTGCCCTTGATATATCATAGAACTGTAGGGCTGGAAGGGACTTCGAGAGCTAGTCAAGCCCCGCAGCCTGGCGGAAGTTTGTTTTCTCACTGTATGTGCCCAGCCTGTTCTGTGGCTACACAGAAAATATCAGTCTTCAGGCATACTTCCAAAATGATAGATGTATTTAATGGGCTAGATCCTCAGCTGCTGAAAATTGGCACACTTCCAGGAAGCTATGCCAGTTTATACCAGATGCAGGGGCGGCTCCAGGCACCAGCGCAGCAAGCATGTGCCTGGGGGCGGCATGCCGGTCGCCATGAGGGTGGCAGTCAGGCAGCCTTCGGCGGAATGCCTGCGGGAGGTCCGCCGGTCCCGCGGCTTTGGCAGCAATTCGGCAGCGGGTACGCCTAAGGCGTGCATGGGACCGGCAGATCACCCGCAGAAATGCCGCTAAATCCGTGTGACCAGTGGACCGCCCGCAGGCATGCCACCGAAGGCCGCCTGACTGCCGTGCTTGGGGCGGCAAAAAACATAGAGCCGCCCCTGACCAGATGAGGATCTGATCCACTGCTTGTTAATGATATTGACTATCTAATACATAGTAGTCAAAATTATTTAAGCAACAACCATGGAGCCAGGCATTTCTGTGAATTAACAAGCTGTGGTCCTGTGACATTCTCTGATGCCATCAGCAAACCTCAGCCGGTCCCTAAAATTATGCTAACTGAGATGCCTGGTAGATAACTAAAATAATGCTAAAGTTTTATTTTTTAAACTAAAAAATAGTAGTCTGACACTGACCAATAAATGTCATACAAGGATGATTTGGTTCCATTCTCCAGAAAGCAAGCCTGAAACAACTTTGTTGTTGGTATATGTTTATGTTACAGAACAATACGGCCCGACAGCCAGGTCCACTCAGTATACAAAGCCACTGGCTGTTCAGATAATTCCAACCACCATGTGATCTACTTGGAGCATGTGGTCGTGCGCATCACTATCACCCATCCTCGGCGTGGAGACTTGGCAATTTTCCTAACCTCTCCTTCTGGAACAAAGTCGCAGCTATTGGCTAACAGGTGCAGTAACCCTATGCAACTTTGCACTCCAGTCAGAGCTCAGAGCTGGGGTGAGATTGTAGTTTACACAGAGAGGAATCAAATAATTGTTGTTGGTGTGTTAACAGTCATAGGCACCTAATTACTTTGGGGAGGGGAGTGGGAAGGGTGGGGGAAATGAAGCAGTAATTAGCTGTGAGGACTGTAGTCATTACTGCAGCAGTATAGGACTAGACTAGAGCAAAGCTGTTATAGACTGTCATCTTTATAGCAGGAAACAGAGGTTTTTGACGGAACCCCTCCCAGCTGTGAGATTAACACAGAAGCAAAGGAAATTTTGATAGTCTGAATGTTATAGGAAGGTAGCTGAATGGGAAAAAGTCTTCTATAGACAATTAATACATAATTGTTCATCCCTCCTTCCTTAACACTTTCTCCCAAATAATAAACATAGGACAAAGTAGCCTAATTCCTCTGTAATTGTTTTCCTCATCAATTCCCCTTCCATTTTTCCTTCTGCCAGAGTATATAGAAGTGGTCTCCTCCAGCCACAAAAGGCTCTTGACAGAATAAGAAAGAAAACATGGTTATTGTTATGAGCGGGCATGGCACTGTTGATCATAAAAGGTTGTTGACACTCATATGAGATTTTTTAATTGGCATCTCACAAGTGGACCCACATTCCTATCTCACTGTTCCCATAGAGTTGTGATGGACACCTGCTGTTTGTTATTAGCCCTCTATCATGCAGCAATCCACAAGGCTTAGTCTCTCTCCCTTCCTCTTTCAGCTCTACATGAGACTGCTTAGAGAAACTGGGAGACACCTTATCCAGATCCGACAGAGTGTCTCATTCTCTGAGGCAGCTCCACCACCACCAGGATGCCCCAATGCCTAGAAGTGATTTGTATCACGATCACTTACTCTCAGCATCCATCAACAGATGGAAGAAGAGCAGTTGTCTTAAACCCAGCTCATGAATAATGTCAGTAGGAAGGGGACACTCTTTAGAGACCCTGCCAGTACCTTAATCTCACCAAAACTTTAAATACCAATCAATGGTCCAGGGAATCTCATCAGATCACAGATTTTCAAAATGGAGTGGCACCTCAGGGTCCTCCTCAAACTCCTTGCTACTCCCAGCCATGCAAATAGCCACAGTGGCAAGGAATGCTTTCTTGCATCTCCAGCTGGCCAGAAAAATGTACCCTTTCTTCTCATGCAAGGATAATCAACACTTTTGCCTTGGTGACTCACCACATTAGTCTGCTGTAGTTCTACGTAGGGTTGAATGCAGCTATCGCACAAAGGCTGAATTTAGTGCAGCATGTCGCCTTAGCAACAACAACCAAAACTAGCACATCACACCTGTGCTTTGTGAACTCCATCGGGTCCTCATTCATTTCAGAAAAAAAATGTGAAGTCCCAATCATTATCTGCAAAGCCTTTAACAAATTGGAACCTGGCTACTTCAGAGACGGCCTCAGAAGTCCTGGTCTTCCAAGACAGCTGAGCTCCACTGGAACAACACAGCTATAAAGAACCAGGGGTAAACTCTTTCACCTGGGCAACAGAGCATTCGTAGTGGCAGAACAGACGCTGTGGAGCTCCTTGATAGAAGAGACAGATTGACTCCAAACATGGTTTTGTTCAAATTGAAGTGTAAGACCCATCTTCTCACTAAAATCTTTCCCCAGGAGTGATGCCCCTAAATACTTTTTAAAAAATCATTCAAGCATATAAATTCACACATGGAATAGAGAGGGAAATCACCATTTGTTCTGAATTCTTTAGCTTCTTCATAGTATTTCCAGTGTTGAGATACCATCATTATCAATGCCTTAGAAATAACATTGACAGGTACATGTGCCATACAGAACCTTCTTCTTTGTTGACCTGTACAGAGACAGATTCTGTCCATCTAAACAGTTGCAACTTTGAGTTTGATTTTCTGCTTGGAGGAGGCTCTCTTTACTCTTCTATCCTGTTTCTGTGCAGTGGTTCTTCCATGAAAGCTTCAAGATGAAAATTTTTAAAGCAGTCCAAATAAATATATCCAAATAAAATAAGTTGGTATAAACCCTTGGGTTTTACTAGAGCTCACTTTAGGATCCAGCCTTTCATGTGTTGCAGCTGACTCATTACCAGTGGGAGATAAAGACATTCCAGTGTTCACAGCTCACCTCTTGTGATGATTGGTATGTGGAAAAGGTACAGAATTTAATGCAATCATCCTATTTGTAGTCCTTGCTCCTTAAAAGGCAGTCATTTTCTGAGCTTGCAAGTGAAACAGAAATGATGCAAAAGATATATATATCTTTATATATATAAAAAGCATGGAAATGTGAGGCTGCTTCCCATTCTGCACTGTTATCTGAATGCTACCCTCAAAACAAAGATTGAAAGGCCTTTTATGTTCAGCCCTTTTCCAGAAACAAATTATTCATGAAAGAGCAAATATTATCACACACAGACACACCAAAAATCCCTTTCTCATGCAGGCTTCTGAAATATATTAGCTTGCCAGTCAGATTCAGTTAACATCAGTTCACAGCTCTAGGATTTTAATAACAAATAATATTTGTATTTTGGGGAAGCCAGGACTGGCAAATGAACTACAGCCCCTAACAATCCTTTCCTTACAGTAGAGTTCAAAAGTGGGTGATACAGTGTTTTCAGATTATTGGAAGGCTTGTTTATTTTCTTTTAATCGGCAAAGAATAAACCGTACAATTTAGGGACAGTGCATATTAGTGATTCGAGTGTGTATTTTTAAATGTCATTTTGTCATACAGGAAAGAGTTGTTTTTGTTATTATTTAATAGCTTTAGTTAGGGCAAAGAGAAGCAATGCTTGTTTTTCCCTAAGATAGTCATAGGTGTGCCAGAATAAATCCATGCAAGTGCACGGGTAATACAAGGATGCCTCGGAGTCGGCAGCCAATCATTTGGGGGTTTTCTACAGACAGAGGCTGCCATACATTGCTGCTACCTGACTGAGACACTTTTTTCAGACTTACAAGACCTTTACATGCACACAGACATGATTAATAGCAGCAATACCAGCTGTTTTACTGAACCCAGGAAAAATCTCATTGCTTCACCATTACTCATCTGGTTTTAATTTGAAACAGTTTACTGGTGAAATATCTTAGAAGTGCAGATGTACATTTTACATGTGTGCCACCAGATCTAGAAGAAGAGTCACTGCATAGTTTCTGTTGCATTAATGAGTAGGTTCCCCAGACAATATCTGTTGTTTTTTCCCCCTGAATATTTTGTTCTTAATGTTGGCATCCCCCAAAATGACGTCAGGAATAAAACTTGTTAGTCAGAGGCGCTATGGATTCCTTCACAGGCATTTGGTGGATTACATTGTCACTGGCTTCAGCTTCTTGTGCATTCTTCAAAAACTGCATTACAGGGAACATCTGCTTTGCTGTTTAGAAAGTGCTAAACATGATTAAATTGGATGTACTGCAAAAGAGGAAAATACAGATTCAGAGAGTGCAGGCTGGGGTGAGGCTGAGGCTCAGCTAGTCATAATAACTACATTTGGACCAAAGCGGAACAGAATCCCCTTTTCAAAACAATTGCCCATTGGATTTGGCAACTCACACAGAATAATTTTGAGAGACCAAGGCTTGTCCCAATACACATTCAAATCAAGAGGCCACAGAGGACCATCTAGATGGAAAGAACACGGAGAGGGGCTAGTATGCCATGAGCTCACTTATCTCCCACCAAAGTCACTGCTTGCTTTAAATTGCATCCTTTACATTTAAAACAGCTGCTGCCCGTTAGAACTACGTAGCTGAATGCCTTTTAACCATATGGTGGCAAAATTCCAGACCCTTATCTTCATCTGCTTACATCTCAATGACATTCATAATACCTCTTCCAAACAACAAGAGGATGTGCTTTCCATTGCTATCTTTTCCTCTAATGAAATCTTTGATATCAGTAAATTTTGTTAATAAAATTCTCTGCCAAAAACTCTCCATCTCTGACTAAATATGGGGTCCTGTAATCTAGTGTCACTTGCAATATCACTTAATAAAAATTCTTGGTGATTAGAAATGGAAGAGGAAGCCCTTTCTTTATATAGGGCTATTTAGATTTCTGGACTGTCCCATCTGTCATTAACATATTAAAATCTACTCTGGAAATACTTCATAAAAGTGTTGCATTTTCGAGGTAAATTAAAAAGAAATGGAGAGGACAACCCCACTTTTGATGAGAGAGCACCCAGAACCTCTCTCCACTAACAACTAGTGCAGGGGTAGGCAACCTATGGCACATGTGCCAAGGCAGATGTAAGCTGATTTTCAGTGGCACTCACACTGCCCGGGTCCTGGCCACTGGTCCGGGGCCCTCTGCATTTTAATTTAATTTTAAATGAAGCTTCTTAAACATTTTAAAAACCTTATTTACTTTACATACAACAATAGTTTAGTTATATATTAAAGACTTATAGAAAGAGACCTTCTAAAAACATTAAAATGTATTACTGGCACGCGAAACCTTAAATTAGAGTGAATAAATGAAGACTCGGCACACCACTGAACCCTGAACTAGAGTGACTCTACAGTACTGCCATCAAATAGAGAAACAAAAGAATACAATCACCTACCTGTACCCAGCCCATTAGGATGAACCAGCATCTGGAATAATTATCTCCCATCCCCAGGCTGCTATTTTGCACTGCCTCCTTTAACTTTGCCCCTGCCCTTCTCTCTTGCTGAATGGACATTGTGCCATTCCTTCTTCTCCATACAGTTGCCTCCCACCCCCAATTTCTTCGAAGTCATGCACTTGCTGCTTTGCTGTGTCTGTCAGCACTGGCCTTGCTGCCTTCTTCCGCCCCCCTCTCACTCTCCCCCCCGCAAAAAAAGACTTTTTCTCCTGTCAGCTACAGCAAGAGAAGCACACAAAGTCTTGTGCAATGCATTAGAATTGTTTCCAGCAGGCAGACAACAGATGGAAAATAAATAAGTTCAGGAGCACTGGGAATGTTAGTAA